GGGGCAGGGAACATGGACCCTCCTTTTTTCATGGAGATGCCAGTTATACCCTAAGACGGTATCCCCGTTTTCCTGTCTCTAGACAGTCCCAGGTGAGCTCCACTTGGATGATTGCTTCAGAGATATTTCACCTTAATTTTTGATTGATTGATTTGTATCCAACTATTTTTTTGACAAAATATCAGAGATTTCCATAGGATTGGGAGACTAACCCACTTTGCTTAGAATTTCTTAGCTTCCTGCTTCATGCACATGCAGGTTATAATTTAATCTACATCATACACATGCAGGTTATAATTTAACACACCCCAAACCTAAGTATGCTTTTGATTTTAGTGATTGATCCCACATTTATTTATTTTATCAGCCGAGGATTTTTATTTACTGGACTTCCTGCAGAAAATGTTCTAAACGTTTTTACAGTCTCTGAAACCAAGTGTTGATTGATTTTTATCTCTTGATTCTTTGAGGGAGGGTTGCAGGGAAGAAAAAGACTGTGATTCTTCCTATTTATCCAGAATTTAAAAGAAAATTAGTCTCAGACCCTTGAAGGTTTATATTCAGGAAGATAATACAGTCCCAGGTCCTGGGAAGCAAAATCTAGTTGGCAAAACCGGAAAGAAAACTGAAACTTTACTTAAATAAAATGTGTTGCAATATGTTGGATGTGTTGTGTGCTTTAGACTGTGTGTGTGCGTGAGTGTGTGTGTGCAGTGCACACGTTGGCGATCCACGGCCACTGTGAACAGATAGGGATGAAGGAGATGAGGCAAAGCTTTCTCCCCTTGCTTCAGTCCCCTGATTTTATACACACACACAAACACACATATATTTTTGGGAATTTAACTATTTTTCATTTATTTCTATCATTGCTATTACAGAAAGAAAATCTTGAAAATGAGCTTATGATTTCTATGTACATGCACAATTCCCCCTGATTATGTTTGTCTCAGCAGGTCAAAAGCCCAGTGCCACTCCCCGGCTTCCCCTCTCTGGCAGTCAGTACAGTGACTTCTGCGCCAGCTGTTTTCGGGAAGTCAGATGACCTTTCTCCCTCCCTGCTCTGTGTCTCTCCAGCCCCGGAGGTGCACACCATGCACCCACTGCTGGCTCTCCTTTGCCTGCTGCCCCTGCACCCAGGTAGGAGTGGGGTGGAGCGGGTAGGGGTCCAGGGCCAAGGCTGGTGCAGCCCAGGTTGAGCTCCTGTGTGACACGGACGGTGTCCTTTGCTTTCCGTGTCTCATCGGTGCCTCCCTCCTCTCCATTTCTGTGTCCCTGTGCCACAGGCTGGTCCACAGCCACTCTCTCCTGCCCTCAGAACGTCAATATCTCCGGAGGCACTTTCACCCTCAGCAATGGCTGGGCCCCTGGGAGTATCCTCACCTACTCCTGCCCCTTGGGCTATTACCCGTCCCCTGCCATGCGGCTGTGCAAGAAAAACGGGCAATGGGAGACGCTACAATCCACCCGGTCGACGCTGACAAAGGCTGTCTGCAGACGTGAGGCTCCCGCTGGGCTGGAGGGCTCCTCGGAGAACACTTCTTTTTAGGCGTTGCTCGGTGTGGGGCTTAGGGTGGCTAGATGGTGTGGGAAGGATGGTAAAGCTGATTTCCAGAACAGTGAGACAGTGTGATTGCCGCTAGCATGGAAAAGAGGCTGGCCGGATGCTGTGGGGTTGCACAACCAGAGTGGATATTTACGACTTAACAACTGACGATATGGTACTGACCACTCAGAATGAATACAGAATCTCTGGTCCTGGAATCCCCTGCTGTCCCAGGTGTTACCGCATTGGTTCCCCACTCATGGGGCATCTGTGCACCTCAGGGGAGGGTTGGGTGGCCCAAGGAGCTCATAGAAGTGACCATTTATCAGTCTATTAGGTTGAACTGCATGAAATTGCCAGTTTATAGCTGGTTGTGAAAGCAGCAGTTTCACATGCATTAGTCTGCTTTTCTGGACAGCTGGCGATCCCCACACATGCAAGCTGAGCGCCCCTACCTACTGCCCAGGCAGGTGTTCCCACACATCCCTGTGTTCCCACCCCGTCTCCCTCCAGCTGTCCGCTGTCCAGCCCCTGTCACCTTTGAGAACGGCATGTATACCCCACGGCTGGGGTCCCACCCCGTGGGGGGCAACCTGACTTTCCATTGTGAGGATGGCTTCTCACTGCGGGGCTCGCCAGTTCGTCAGTGTCGCCCCAACGGCATGTGGGACGGGGAGACGGCCGTGTGTGACAATGGCGGTGAGTGTCCTGCCTGGGGGGCGTGGGGTCCCCCTAGCCCCCCTGGAGTCTGGCCAGAGGAAGCTGGTGCTGCGTTTCATATCCAACATGCAGATCCCCATACTCCGTCCCACTTTTCCAAATGTTCAAAGCAAGTCCCGGTAGCAGGGCCCCACAGCTCCTGCAGAGATCTGCTGGGCCAGCACGGAGCGCTGTGCTCCCTGCCCTGCCTCGAGCCTGGCTCTGACATTGACAGCCTCTGGGCAGGTGAGGTCACCTGTCTGTGCCTCAACTTTCACATGTATAAAATGGGGGCAGTCTCGGTGCCGACGGTATGGGGTTGCCACATGGATTAAGTTGATATTGGTGATTATCTAGACCAGCCCCTGGGATCTGGCAAACAGCAAATGTACTTTCGTCACAATTGCTATTGCCCTGTGAATGGTGAGAGGCTCCACCTGACAGAAGGGGCCCCCAGGGGCCACTCTGCCTGTGGGCTTCAGGAACTTCCCCCATCATGAGTCTGAGCACATACAGAGAATACAGAATCTGGAAGGTGGCAGGCTCCTCACCCATGGCCTAGCTGTTATCACCCTACTCACATCATTACTGTTGCCAGAGAGCCATTTATTCAAATACAAATCTAATTGATTTGAAAATTGAAGCATTATTTACTTACAGTAAAATGCTTAAGTCATAACTATTCAGACTATCTTTTTCTTAAAAAAGATTTATTTATTCATGCATACAAGAACTGGGGTGTAAGCCAGAGGTGGGGGGAGCGGGGCTTGAGAGGATTCACCTGAGTCAGAGAAGGGAGCAGAACAGGCAGATCCAGATCCACTGAAATACACTGCTGAGGGGAGCAGCGGGCAGGTCAGGAGAGGTCTGCTGGGCCATGTGGGTCAGCTCCCTGGTCGGGGATCGAACTTGTGCTGCAGTGGCTACAGAGAGCTTCTTAACACTGAGGCTTACCCCCGTGCCATCAGGGAGGCCCTCAGCCTGGTGATCTTTGACACATATCCATCCCCAAAACGATCACCAGAGATGGAGGCATCCAGTGTGGCAGCACGTACCTCTCCTGCCTCTGTCTCTGTCGATGAGTTTCACAGGTTGTCACACTTGTTCACATGGAATCATGCAGAATGGCCGCGTCTGCACCGGCTTCCTTTACTCTACATTCTGTGAGATTTACCCTGTTGCTCTGTGTGTTGTTCTTTGTTAGTTTTTTTTTTTTTAAAGATTTATTTATTTGTACATACAGAACTGGGGTACAGGCCAGAGGCTCAGGGGCGGTGAGAGGCTTCACCAGAGACAGAGTGGGGAGCAGAACAGGCAGATGGACGAAGCACACTGCTGAGGGGAGCAGCGGGCGGGTCAGGAGAGGTCTGCCACGCCATGTGGTCTCCTCCGGGGCAGGCGGGAATTGAACTCATGCGGAAGTGGCTTTTTAGCTTCTCAGTGCAGCGCTTTAACCCGCTGCGCCACCAGGGAGAACCCAGTTCTTTGTTAGTTTTTAGGGCTGTGCAGTCCCATTATTTGAACATGGCACAGCTTATTTAAGCCCTCTCTTCTTGAAGGGCATGTGGGTCGTTTCCGGTTTCTGAGCACGCCTCTAGAAGTGCACATGCATTGTTTCTTTCAGCGTGTTTTCTGGGGCGGAATTATGGGGCACAGGTCGGCGTGTGCTGAGTTCGCATAGAGGCTGGTGACAGCCCCTGACTGAGCCTCCAGGAGAGCTCCAGTTGCCCCACATCCCTGGAGACTCTCAGAATTGCCCATCTTCAGGGTCAGCCTAGCGGTGTGAAGTGGGAATGTACTTTTTAAAAAAACTTTTTTCTTTTTTTCCCCTCAGGGCGTTTAGAGAGCAGTAGGGGCCTCAGCATTTGGGAGCATGGGGGCTGGGGGATGTACATCAGGGTTTAAGGGGTGAACTCCATGAGGCTGGGGGTGGGCCCCAGGAGTTGGAGGATGGACTCCAGGAACTGCTGGGTGGACCCCAGGGGATGGCGGGGTGGGGGGTGGACCCCAGGAGGCTGGGGGTAGATCCTTAGGGCTGGTGGGTAGACCCCTGAAGCCTGAGTGTGAACCCCTGCAGCCGGGGGAGGGTGAGCCCTTGGGGCTAGAGGATAGACACTGGGAGCAGCGGGGTTGGCAGATAACTGGTGCTGGGGGGTGAACCCCAGGGGCAGGAGGGTGGACTCCAGAGGTTGGTGGGTGAAGTGGGAATGTTCTCTATGCAGGTGGGGCTTGCTGGGCCCTGGGGTGGGAACAGGCTGAGCGTCTGTATGGGATGGGGGCACTTTAGCTAACAATGGTGGGCACTGAGCTCTAAACATTTTGCCTACTGAAGGTTTTCCACCTACATCACTGGAAAGTACAGTTAGGGAGCCTCCTGAGGGAGAATCTAGGGCACCCACAGAACTCTGAGGAGCTGCATAGGAGGAAGTGTGGGGGTACAGCATGGGTGCTCAGGTCCCTGAAGCCCAGCACCAGGCCCCTGCTCACCACCTTCTTTGTTCACTCCAGCCGGCCACTGCCCCAACCCAGGCATTTCCGTGGGCGTGGTGCGCACAGGGTCCCGCTTTGGCCTTGGCGACACGGTCAGCTACCGTTGCTCCTCGAACCTGGTGCTGACAGGGTCTGCAAAGCGGGAGTGCCAGAGTAACGGGGTCTGGAGTGGGACCGAGCCCATCTGCCGCCGTGAGTAGCCACCCTGAACCTCCCGGACTTCTGGGAAGCCCACCCCTGGCCCTGGTTGAGCCTCCGGCTCTCTCCACAGAGCCCTACTCTTACGACTTTCCTGAGGACGTGGCGCCTGCCCTGGGCACCTCCTTTTCCCACCTGCTTGGAGTCACCAACCCCACGCAGAAGAAGAACGGTGAGTGCCCGAGGCAGGGGCAGCAGGAGCTGGGCCTGGGCTGGCTCAGGGGACGGGCACTTGGGAGCCTAGGTGGGCTCTTGCAGGGCCGAACTGACTGCAGTGGAGGGTGGGAGGCCTGACCAGCCCCCTTGGCAAGAGAGCAGGTAGGAGGTGGAGATCTGAATCCAACCCTTCTGCATTTCCTCCAGAAAATCTGGGTCGCAAAATCCAAATCCAGCGCTCCGGTCACCTGAACCTCTATCTTCTCCTGGATGCCTCTCAGAGTGTGGTGAAAGACTTTCACATCTTCAAGGACAGCGCCTACGTCATGGTGGACAGGGTCAGGACATAGGCGCTTGCATGCACAGAAAGCCCCCTTGCGGCCCCTGTCTCTCTTGCCTTTCTTTCCTACGAATCCCCCAGATAGCCCGCGGCTATGTAAGTCTTCCCAGATTATATGCATGCCAACCTGGATCACAGATCCAACTTATGAAGGTCTTAATTTTTACTCCCCACACACCATAATAGCACCTACTGTGTGTCAGGTACTGTCTTGGGTGACCAAGATGAGCAAAGCCTCGATCCTGCTTTCTAAGATTTCGTCATCTAGCACAGTCATCTTCACCAAGGGGTACACAGAATCCCCTGCTGAGTGGGTCTTGCTCCAGCTCTCTGCCTCCACCGGGGCCCTTTGCTTACTCTGATACCATCTCCCCTTTGGTTTCGGGGTCCTTACATGCCCTGCACAGCTCTTCAGCTTTGAGATCAATGTTAGTGTCGCCATCATCACCTTTGCGTCAAAGCCCAAAGACATCTTATCTGTCACGCACGACGAATCCCGGGATGTGACGGAAGTGCTTGAGATTCTGGACCATGTTGACTATAAAGGTACAGGTGTCACACAGATGAAGGGCGAAGGGGCGAGTGCTCCGTGCTGCTTATGGATTCTGGGTAGGCCAGACAGAAAGTGAGGTCCCGGGGGGAGGTGTTGCCAAGCCAGGCTCAGTGGGCTGGGGTGGGGGATCGCAGCTGCCTCCTATTTGTGGCTTTTTCTAATGTCTCACTCACCGGCACAGATGCCACATGCCAAGCTTCCTGAGGCCCAGCCATGTGGGCACAACTTCATAGTCCCCTCAGGTCATTTTGAAGCTTCTTAGGTGGTAGTTAGCAGGTAGCTAAAACACCCCAAGTTCTTTGAAATCCCAGTTTTGAATCTTGGGATTCCAGAGTGGCCTTGAGGGGGGCTATGCAATGAGCATTTCTGGGGGAAAAGGCTTCTAATGCTGGAATGGGCATAACTCTGCCTGGATGGCAAAGATCTGGCTTTATCAAACCAGTTGATAAATGCACTTCCAGTAGTTGAGGGAAATACAGTGACTTCTTCCTCTCAGGTGGTAAAAGTTTCTTTTTAAAAAAATTAAAAAAAAAAGATTTATTTATTTATGCATACAAGAACTGGGGTACAGGCCAGAGGTGTGGGGGGTGAGAGGATTCACTAGAGACAGAGTGAGGAGAAGAACAGGCAGATCTACTGAAATACAATGCTGAGAGGAGACAGGAGAGGTCTGCTGTGCTATGTGGGTCACTTCCCTGGCCGGGGATTGAGCTTGTGCTGCAGTGGCTGTGGACAGTTTTGCAGTGCTGCGCTTTAACCCATTGCACCACAAGGGAGGGTCCCCCCATGGTAAAAGCTTCTGAGAATCTCCTCCTCCTTTGCATATTCCAGACCATGAAAATGGAACCGGGACCAACATTCATGAGGCCCTAATGAGTGTCTATTACATGATGAATAACCAAATGCAACAGCTTGGCTTGCACACAGCAGCCTGGCGGGAAATCCGACACGCCATAATCCTGTTGACAGATGGTGAGTACTGCGACCTCTGCAGTGAGTCGGGCAGAGTGGACAGAACAGTCACAGAGGAAGCTGCCTCCTCCTTCTCCCTTTGCCACTTTGGGCCTCAGCTTCTTCTTTTTTTTTTTTTTTAAAGATTTATTTATGTATGCATATAGAACTGGGGTGCAGGCCAGAAGTGCAGGGGCGGTGAGAGACTTCACCAGAAACAGACTGGGGAGCAGAACAGGCTGACTGCTGAGGGGAACAGAGGGCGGGTCAGGAGAGGTCTGCCACTCCATGTGGGTCACCTCCTTGGCCGGGGATCGAACTTGTGCTATAGTGGCTGCAGACAGCTTCATAGTGCTGTGCTTTAACATGCTGCGCACCAGGGAGAGCCTCAGATTCCTATTTCTAAAGTGGAAACAGAATTGCTGACAATGACAGAAACACCGATAACAAGAATGATGATGATAATGGCATTATCCTCTATTCCGCATGGAACTTTATGGAAGTGCTTTGCGATTTTTATACATGCATTTTTGGACTCTGGGATCCCTCTGAAAAAGAATTCAGTATTCCCATTCATCAGCACTCATGCTTATTAAGGAAAGGGAAACAAGGAAAAAGAAACACCTGTGTGGACACTGGGTGGGGGCGGCAGGAGTTGCTGCTTTGTGAGGATACATGGTGGTTGTGGTCCCATCTGGGAGGCCCCCTGGGGAGAGCTGGGTGGGGAGATGGGGCTCCAGAGCAATGGGGTTGGAAGAATGTGGCCTGTGTAGTGGATCTGGGCTCTGCCACTTATCAACTGAATTTCCCCACAGATTCATAGTCCCTCCAGAACTAAGTTTTTCTCTTGCATCTAACATGAGGGTACTCACATTTCCTGGGCTTCATGAGAGTTACATGAGGTAAAGTATAGGAAATGTGTAGCTTAGTGCCTGGATTGCAGAGAACTTCAGTGAAGAACATAATCTTGAAAGTCCAGGAGGCAGTAAGAGTGGCGGACCCAGGCGTGCCTCCCTGCCCCAGGCTTGGGAGCTGACACATCCCCGCAGATGAACAATTCTTTCCTGTCCAGGGAAGTCCAACATGGGTGGCTCTCCCAAGCCGGCTGTTGACAAAATCAAAGAGATCTTGAGCATCCAACAGAAGAGGGACGACTATCTGGGTGAGCCCCCCACCCCCCCGCCAACACTCCTGTGCACCATCCCTGCAAGGCCCTCAGCCAGGGGTTCCAGCATCTTTCTCTGCATTGAGATCCCCCCATTCCATCCTGCTGTGTCATTCTGGGTGAAGGCCGCTGAGTGTCAAGCTGCTGCCATGACTGAGACCTTGGCCTCGTCTTCAGATTTGGCCTGTGCTGTGGGCAGTTCTGTGTGTGGGTGTGTGGGTGGGGGGATGGCTCCAGTTATCCTTCACTCCAGGCCACTGAGTCCCACCCCCTGTGCTGACCTTTGACCAGAATCAAAATCCCCCTGATAAGGGAAGCCAGGTGTTTTTGAGTTTCCAAGTTTCACTTTCCCCTGTTGTTCCCATTACAACTCTGACCTAAGAGAAGCAAAAGCCAAACTTTCTAATTCCTTACCATCACTGGGCCTGGATTAAATGCTGAAAAGCACTTCATGGAAAAGACACAAGAACCGAAGGGAAAGAGGGCAGAGTGAGCCATGAGGCATGACTGCTCTCTGGCTTCAAGTCAGGGACACTGCCCTCAGGTCGGGGAGGCCCTCAGGTTGGGAAGACTGTCCTCAAGTCGGGGACACACTATGTAGGTCTCTCAGGGAGCATAAACGGGCCCTGAGGACGCAAGGCACGGGAAGGCTGGACTCGGGGGCCCCCCTGGAGGTTCTGACTGCTACCCTGGCTTGTCTCGGAGGCTGTGTGGACCCAGGTTCTCCAGAGAGGAGAGCTGGTTCCAGGGTCCTCTCCCAGAACCCACGTTTTACGGAGGAAGACTCCATCGGAAGTTTTGTCTCCATGCTACATTCATGAATTCTTTTTATCCATTTAACCATTACATACTTCTTTGAGAACCTCTTCTAGGCCAGATGCAGAGCCGAAGATTCAGCTGTGAAGTAAAAAAAACCAAGGTGCCAGCTGGTGTCTGGAAGGGCAGTGCTAAGTGGCTAAGGGTGACGCAATAACTTACAGAAATGTGGGTGGCTTAGGACAACAGAAACACATTTTCTCGAGTACAGGAGACTAGCAATGCCAGACCTGGTGTGGCAGGGCCAGGCACTGGCTGGAAGCGCTAGGGAAGGAACTTCCCTGCTGCTCCCAGTTCCCGGTGGCCCTCACAGTCTGGTGTGTAGCAGGACAACCGAGTGTCTCTGTCCTTACATGGCTGGCTTCCTCTCTGCTCCGCCTGGTATTCATGGTATTCTCTCTGTGTGTTTGCATACGAATTCCCCCTTCTCACAAGGATGCCAGTTGGTGGCTAGCTCAGGTGCATAAGGAGTGTGCCTAGAGGGGTCAAAGTGGCTGGGCATGTGGTTTGTTTGTCTTCAACGCGTAATTTTATTTATGTATGCATGCAAGAACTGGGGTGCAGGCCAGAAGTGTGGGGGTATGAGGCTTCACCAGAGTGGGGAACAGAGCAGGCAGATCTACTGAAATACGTTGCTGAGGGGAGCAACGGGTGAGACAGGAGGGGCCTGTTGTGCCCTGTGGGTCACTCCCTGGCAGGGGATTGAACTCAGGCTGAAGCGGCTGGATAACTTGATGGCACTGAGGCTTTAATCCCTGTGCCACCAGGGAGGTCCCGGGCATGTGGTTTTAACAGGGAGGCCAGGGCAGGCCTTGCCAAGATGGTGATATTTGAGTTTACTTAAAAAAGTAAGAAAGTGATTCAGTGAGAGGTCTGGGGGAGGAGGAAATCAGACACTTCATGCAATGGGCCTGAGGTGGGGGTGTCTGCAAATTTGACTTCAAAGAGCTGTGTGAACTAGGAGAGAGCGAACAGTGTCGCGGTAGGAAACGAGGAGCAGGGGCTGGGGAGGAAACGAGGAGCAGGGGCTGGGGGGGTCCCTTTGTAGGATGGAATGGACTCCAAATGACAGCTCTTGTCCTGGGGTAGGCCCTCCGTCACGAGTCTGGTCGTTTCTCCTCCCTGCTAGACATCTATGCCATTGGGGTGGGCAAGCTGGATGTGGACTGGAGAGAACTGAATGAGCTGGGGTCCAAGAAGGACGGTGAGAGGCACGCCTTCATCCTGCAGGACGCAGATGCTCTGCGCCAGGTGTTCGAGCATATGCTGGGTGAGTCCGCCGTGTCCTCCAGGAGCAGGCCGTGTGGTGAGGACCCCGCAGGGGCCCGGCTGGGCTACTGGCTGTGCTCCTCACCTGTGACCTTCCCCATCTGCTCCTCACATCCACAGATGTCTCCAGGCTCACAGACACCATCTGTGGGGTGGGGAACATGTCAGCCAATGCCTCTGACCAAGAGAGGGCACCCTGGCATGTTACTATTAAGGTACCAGGAGCACGGATGGGGCTTGGATCCCACAGGTGAGAGCTGCCACGGGCAGTCCCTGAGATCACCTGTTCCCCTGCAGCCCAAGAGCAAAGCAACCTGCAGGGGGTCCCTCATCTCAGACCAGTGGGTTCTGACAGCGGCCCACTGCTTCATCCAGGCTGATGAGCAGTCCCTGTGGAGGGTCAACGTCGGTAAGGCAGGGCCCACCCCAGGTTCCTGACCCCACGACCAGAGCTCCCGCCCCTTGCCCCTGGCTGCTCTTCTCTTCAGGAACCCTGCTCCAGTCTAATTCACCATATTGTTCCTAGGGGACCCCAACTCCCCAAGGGGCAAAGAATTCCAAATTGAGAAGGTAGTGATCTCCTCGGGGTTCAATGTTCACGCCAAAAAGAATCAGGGAATAAAGGAGTTTTATGGTGATGACATCGCCCTGCTGAAGCTGGCTCAGAAAGTGAAGATGTCTACCCACGCCAGGTGCAGGCCCTGCATGGGCAGTGCCCTCTTGGGGAGAGCGCTCTGGGTGGCCCCAGGGGAGGGGGAAGAGGGGGACCCAGGCCAGGCTGGTGTGACCCTTGCCTTCTCCCTAGGCCCATCTGTCTCCCTTGCACTGTGGAGGCCAACCTGGCTCTGCGGAGACCCCCAGGCAGCACCTGCCAAAACCACGGTGAGGAACTGGGGCTGGAGCTGGGGTGAGAGTCTGGGGGAACAGCACCAACACCCCCTCTCCTTGACCACAGAGAGTGACCTTCTGAACCAACAGAGCATTCCTGCTCATTTTGTGGCCTTGGATGGGAAGAAAATGAATATTAACCTCAAGACAGGAACAGAGGTGAGGTTCTTAGGCTTGGGGTGCTATGGGGAGGGGGATCGGCTTCCTCTGTGGGAACATCTCTTGCTCCTGCCCCTGCTGCTTTCTTCGTCAGACCCTGAGAAACCTGTCCTCCCAGGCCTAGCTGGACAGCGAGGTGTCCCTGGGTCAGCTCATTGCATCCTTCTCTTCTGCCCCACCCCCACTGCAGAGGGAAAACTGTATCAAGGTCGTCTCCAAAGACAAAACCTCATTCCCTGGCCTGACAGATGTCACAGAGGTGGTGACAGACCAGTTCCTATGCAGTGGGACCCAGAACGATGACAATCCTTGCCAGGGTGAGGCCCCCACTCCTGCAGGTCCCAGGAAGGCCATGGGTGTGCCTGTGTCCAGAGGACACTGCAGGCACTGCCGTAGTGCCCAGGGGGGCCAGCCAGGTTAACCCTGTCTCCTGACTCTTTCTGGCAGGAGAATCTGGGGGAGCAATTTTCCTTGAGCGGCGATATCGGGTTTTTCAGGTGAGAAGGGAAAAGCTCAAAGGACTGCGGTTACAGGATCCTAGGGGCACAAGGGAGGCCTTTGACAAAGCCAGGGAGGTTGGGGCCTAGAGCTGGGCTGGGCAGCTCCGTTCCCACTCGCCCCTCCTTCCAGGTGGGCTTGATAAGCTGGGGGCTCTACAACCCCTGTGAGCCCCCTTCCACCCGCAAGAGGGCACCTGCGAGCAGAGTCCCGCCGCCCCGAGATTTCCACATCAACCTCTTCCGCCTGCAGCCCTGGCTGAGGCAGCATCTGGACGGTGTCCTCAACTTCTTGCCCTTGTGAGCATGGCCACTGCCCCTTTGTGGTCCTGCTGGCATTTGCTGGCCCCTTCTGCCTGGGAACTTCCACCCTCAGGCCCCTCGACCCCTGCTGGCTCCCAGCTCTGAGTTCCCGCCTCTGCTTCTGGGGAGCAGCACCTCCAAGCCTGGGAATCCCCAGCACTCCTGCCAGCAGGAGCCCCCCACCCCCTTCGCTTTCCTCAGCTCTCACTTGGATGGAGGATTTCCCAGTTATGAAACTAATAAAATGGATGATTTCCATATCTGTCTGTGCCTCTGCCTGGAAGGGGAAGGCGGGAATGATTCCAGGAACCGCGGTGAGGCAGGTCAGAGACCTGCTGGGCAAACAGGGGCTGGACTCTGCTCCCTGCAAGAGTCAAAGGGGAGCAAGTTGGGGGCCTTACTTCTAGGCCCTAAGGGAGCAGTCAGGGCTCCCTGGGGAGGGCTGAGCAGAGGGGCTGGCTGGAGGGGCATCCTGGATCTTGGGCAGCAAAGGATGGGGACATGGGCACTTTCTATTTCCTTGTCTGGCAGCTCAGGGGACCCTCCCGCTAGGGCATTCCGGAAAGTGATGTGGATGGGCAGGCTTTGCAAGCTGCAGGTGCCAGAACATGATTGCATAAAAGGCTAGAGGTTGTGGGGGATAGGGGGAGGGCCACCTTTTTCAGCTTGGACACTGAGCCAAGCAGGCACACAACACAAGCTGAAATAGGCCATCCTGCTCCAGCCCGGTTTCTCTCCTTCCACCACCATGGGGAGCAAGTGCAGCCCCCACCTCTGCCTGGTGCCATTAGTTCTGAGCCTCTTGTCTGGAGGTAAGTGAGGGTCACCCCATCCTGTGGCCCCACATGCCTCCTTGACCTTGGGGGGCTGGGTTTCAGTGACCTTTCTCTTTAGGCGTGAGTTCACTGTTGCCTGTGACCCAGCCCTCCTGCTCTCTGGAGGGAGTTGAGATCAAAGGCGGCACCTTCCGGCTCCTTAAGGAGGGCCAGGCCCTGGAGTACGTGTGTCCTGCCGGCTTCTACCCCTACCCTGTGCAGGCTCGCCTCTGCCGAGTCACGGGGTCCTGGAGCACCCTGCAGACGAAAGACCAGAGGATTGTCAAGCAGGCAGAATGCAAAGGTTGGAGGCAATGAGGGTGGGCTCAGAGGCGGAAAGGTGGCAGCCAGGTCCAGAGTAGGGTGAGATTAGAGTGGTGTAGAGACTGGGCAGGTAAGAAGTTAGAAAGTGGACTGAGCTCTGAGCTAGAGGGGAGGGCATAGGATGGGGGAGCAGTCTAGGGCTGGAGAGGGGAGGAGGGCACAGAAGTAAGCCTTTATCCTGTGCCAGGCAGCCCTGGCAGTTGAAAGAGCAAATAGAAAGGGCGAGGATGGAGCAGGGGAACTCCCTGTGGGTTGAGGGATTCTTCAGGGATTGAGGGTAGATGCCCATCTCATGGGCCAGAGAGGCCGAGAGGGTTTTTCAGTGACAGGGTCCCCAAGTCCAAGAGGGACATACTAAAAGGCCCCCCTTTCCTCTCAGTAACTTCCGCTTGCCTCCCTTCCCCAAAGCCGTTCGCTGCCCAAGACCACAAGGCTTTGAGAATGGGGAGTATTGGCCCCGTGCCCCCTACTACAATGTGAGTGACGAGATCACTTTCCGCTGCTATGATGGTTACACGCTCCGGGGCTCTGCCAATCGCACCTGCCAGTCCAACGGCCGGTGGGACGGGCAGACGGCCATCTGTGACAACGGAGGTGAGGAGCGTCTCCCAGGATGTACCCTGCTCCAGCCTGAGCAGCGGGCACGCACGTACCTCTGGCTCTACCTTGTCCTCCGGGCCTCGGGCTCTGCACTCACCTCTGTGTGTCATGCCTCTGCAGCGGCCTACTGCCCCAACCCCGGCATTCCCATCGGCACCAGGAAGGTGGGCACGCAGTACCGCCTTGAAGACAGCGTGACTTACTACTGCAGCCGGGGGCTCACGCTGCGTGGCTCCAAGCGGCGAACCTGCCAGGAAGGTGGCTCCTGGAGTGGAACAGAACCTTCCTGCCAAGGTGACCCTTGACCTGGGCCCTCAGTAAGACCTGCTCTCCGAACCCGTCGCCCCCCACCAAGCCACTGTCTTCGCCCCTCGAGCCATCCAGCTCCTTCACTTTAAACATCCCTCTTGGACTTCCTTGCCCCTCCCCGCCTGGAACCCTCCAATCCTGGCTCCCCAGTCAGGCCCTGACCCTGCTGACATCTGGCCATCTTTCTGACCTCTCCCAGACTCCTTTATGTACGACACCCCTGCAGAGGTGGCTGAAGCCTTCCTGTCCTCCCTGACGGAGACCATAGAGGGAGCAGATGCTGAGGATGGGCACACTCCAGGTTAGAGACAGAAGGGGGCAGCAGGGCAAGAAGTAAGGGGAGGGACAAGGGCCAGGAAAGCCTCACATGCTGATGTCTCTCTGGTGGCGCCCAGGGGAAATACAGAAGAGGAAGATCATCCTGGACCCCTCGGGTTCTATGAACATCTACTTGGTGCTGGATGGATCAGACAGTGTTGGGGCTCATAACTTCACACAGGCCAAGAACTGTCTCACAAGCTTGATTGAAAAGGTGGAGTCCCTCCCCTGAATGTGGGGCCCCCACTGTCCTGACAGGACTAGCTCCCTGGTTCTCCCGGTTCCTCTGCGCCACTGAGTCCCAAGATCCACAGGTCCAATTCTGTGCTCTTTCCCATTAGTTGAAGTACTTGAGTCTTTAACTCAGTGTCCCCTTTGACCCTTAGAACGGCCAGTCAGCCCTGGAGCCTTGTTCTGTGACCTTCCCCACCCCCCTCGGGTCCCTGCGGCCATAGTATTTTACCTTCAAAGCCACGACCATTTGTTCCTCTCACCCACAGGTGGCAAGTTATGGGGTGAAGCCAAAATACGCACTTGTGACATATGCCACCAGCCCCAAAGTTTTGGTCAGAGTGTCACAACCAGAGAGCAGTGATGCAGACTGGGTTACAGAAAGGATCAACCAAATCAGCTATGAAGGTCAGAGGTCTGGGAATGGTGGGAAATTTGCTCTGGGATCAGAATGTTCAAGAGTGGTGTGGGACAGGGTGGTGAGGGTTACTTGTTTTCCATGGTTGGACAGTAGGACCGTTGGGAAAGATTGTGGAAATGTGTAAGTGGCTAACAGGGACATTTGTGGTGAAAAGGAAGTCAGTGGGGGGTGACGGTCAACTCAAAAAGCTGGAAGATGTGGGAGCTAAGTTGCTGGTAGCCCTCTGGGGTTCAAGGATGGCCTGGAGGACTACAGATGATGATCTTCTCTCTTTCCACAGACCATAAGTTAAAGGCAGGGACTAACACCAAGAGGGCCCTCCAGGCGGTATACAGCATGATGAGCTGGCCCGGGGACACCCCTCCGGAAGGCTGGAACCGCACCCGCCACATCATCATCCTCATGACAGATGGTCAGCAGAAATTTCTCCTGTCCCAGACTCCCCATTTTCTTCTAGCTATTTCCTGAGCCTTAATTCCCTGTGTCACACTAGAGTCATAGTTGGGGCTCCGGATGTTGCTCAGGGGTATAACCTTGGTGACCTTTCCTGTGACACTTATGAGGGACCCTTCTCCTTAAAACTGTGATCTATCACTTTCATCTCTTCCCCAATCACTGCTCACCCAGCAATGTCACTGCTTCCAGTCAGTTTATCTCCTTGACCCCTTTCTTCCTTGATCTCTCCCAACTCATGGTCCTTGTCTCTTCTGCAGGCTTGCACAACATGGGTGGGGACCCGGTCACTGTCATTCATGACATCCGGGACCTGCTGGACATTGGTAGGGATCGCAAAAACCCAAGGGAGGATTATCTAGGTGAGTGACCTATCCAGGTCCCAGCACCTCACTTTTTAAACCCTCAAGACCTGGGCCCTCACCCTCTTTGTCTCCCTCAGATATTTATGTGTTTGGGGTTGGGCCTCTGGTGAACGATGAGAACATCAATGCTTTGGCTTCCAAGAAGAATAAGGAGCAACATGTGTTCAAAGTCAAGGACATGGAAAACCTGGAGGATGTTTTCTATAAAATGATTGGTAGGAAGACAGCAGAGGTACAAGACCATCATGAGATTCAGCTCTTGTGGGCTCCCCAAGGTCACCTGCTTTTCTCTGTGAAGCCCTGTGGCCTCTCTCCCCCCTCAGGATACTGTTCATTCCCTGGCAGTGTCCACTTTGTGATCTTGGAGGAACAGCTCTGAAGGATGCTAGAGAACTTAAGTTACAGATGGGTAAATTGAGGCCAGGTCTGCAATATTTGAGTCCAAAGTTCTTTTTACTAAACCACAGTGGTTCCTTGTCCTCAGCATGAGGACACAATGCCCCCCACCTGTCCTGTCCTCCTCACAGGCCTCTGCTCCCCACACGAGGGTGCCCCTCCCAAAGCTGCTGCCACTCAGGACTGAAGTGCCCCCAGCTCTGTCTAATTTCTTGTCAGATGAAGAGCGGATCCTGGGTCTTTGTGGCATGGTGTGGGAGATCACAAAAAGTAAGCCACAGAGCAATATCGATGCATTCAAGCAGCCCTGGCAGGCCAAGATCTCAGTGACTGTAAGCACGGCACCCTTGTGGTAGGAACACGTGGGTGGCAAGACCTGGGTGGAGTGGGGGTAGGGGCAAGGGCTCCCCTGAGACTATGGTGCTTGCAAAAGTAGTTCTCCCCTGTTGTCAGCGCCCTTCCAAGGGACTTGAGAACTGCATGGGATCTGTGGTGTCGGAGTACTTTGTGCTGACCGCAGCACACTGTTTCACTGTGGAGGACCAGAAACACAACATCAAGGTCAACGTGGGTAAGGACACCAAGAATCAGTCCTGAGCACGCCCTGGTCACAGGCCGTGTGCAGCACCTCCCACCCCAGGCCCCGGGCCTGCCCTGTCCCTGCAGGGTCCCTCCAGCTGGGGATGGGAAGCCGAGCTAGGGGTGACATGGGGCAAGAGGCATAGGCTGCCCAGAGAAGCAGGTGGTACAGGGGTACCCATTCTACTTCAGGAGGGAAGCGGCAGGACCTGGAGGTAGAAGAGGTGCTATTCCACCCCAAGTACAACATAAATGGGAGAGCAGCCGAAGGAATTCCTGAATTTTATGACTATGACGTGGCCCTGGTCAAGCTCAAGAAGAAGTTGAAGTATGAGCAGACTCTCAGGTGAGGCACCTGGATGCCAGGGGAAAGGTTGGGAGAGGTGAGGCTGGGGAGTGGGAGCTCCAGAGCGTGCCACCCCGCCTCCCTCCCTCTCCTCAACAGGCCCATTTGTCTGCCCTGCACTAAGGGAACGAATCAAGCTTTGAGGCTTCCTCTGTCCACCACCTGTCAGCAACAGAGTAAGATATTTGGGCGAGTAGCACAAGGGGGAGAATGCAAGACAAGCGGGCAGGAGCAGAAGACGCCCAGCTAGTAGGAAGGGGTGGAAGGACCTGCTAGGTGACAAAGGCAAAGGCGGTGGGTGAGGAGAGAGTGCAGCAATGACCGTCTGTCCATCTGTCCAGTGCAAGAGTTACTCCCTGCTGCGGATGTCAAAGCTCTGTTTGTGACAGAGGACAAGACAACACTGGTTCGGAAGGAAGTCTATATCAAGAACGGGAATAAGGTGAGGCGGGTGGGTCCTGGGGGGTGGGGGGTCCTCTAGGGCCCAACCCTCCTGGGGAAGCTTTGCTCCCAGGCCTTTTCTCCTTCACGCCCCCCACCTCACTTACAGAAAGCGAGCTGTGAGAAAGATGCTCAATATGCCCCGGGCTATAGCCAAGTCAAGGACATCTCCAAGGTGGTGACTCCCAGGTTCCTTTGCACCGGTGGGGTGTACCCTTACGCTGACCCCAACACTTGCAAAGGTGAGAGAAGGCTCTCTGGTTATGCTGTAAGTTCCTGAGGCCCAAGAGACTTTCCTCACAACTTCTCCCCTCTGCAGGCGATTCCGGGGGCCCCCTGATTATTCACAAGAAGAGTCGCTTCATTCAAGTGAGTTCCCTACCCGGTCTGAGGGGACAAGCCAAGAGATCAGTGTGGGCTCCAGAGCAGGAGGTTCAGTGCATGAGGAGCAAGACTGCCCTTGGGGCCATGCCCTGAGCCGGCCAGCTCAGGGCCATGCGTCCTGCCTGTGCTGAGGGGAGGGCAGAGTTGGGGGTCCCTTAATCCTCTAGATCAGCTCAGATGCCCTGGGAGTGGCTGCACTTGCAGGAAGGAGGCAGGCACACTCCCACACCACCCTCAGCACCCTTCCTGCTTGCAGGTTGGCGTGATCAGCTGGGGTGTGGTGGACGTCTGCAAGGGCCAGGGGCGGGGGCAGCAGCAGGTGCCCGCCTATGCCCGAGACTTTCACGTCAACCTCTTCCAAGTGATGCCCTGGCTCAAGGAGAAACTCAAAGACGAGGATCTGGACTTCCTATGAAGGGTTTCCTGCTGGAAAGGGGCATGAAAGCAAATTAAAACAGCTGCAACAACACCTGTGTTCAAGATCCTTTTGGGGAAAGGGCGTGGGGACGTGCACTGGCCATGTCATTACAACTGAGATCAAATCTAACAGCCGTTTTTAAAGGCTTAACCCCAATCCCAACTGCTGAAAAACCAGAGGCTGAGGGAGATGGGTGAACTTCTTCCTCAGTGTTTTACTGAGACCGAGGTCAGGGCAGATGAGGCACACAGAATCCGGCTCCATTCCCTAGAAGCCATCCACAAGGTTTTCCTTGTAGATGTCATCACTGTAGACAATCTGGGTTCTCTTGTCCCGGTGGCAACCCTTAGGGCTGTTCTGGACAGCTAGGGAGGGAGGAAAGGATTAGTTAGGACCTGAAGGAGCACATGCCTGACCTGTGCATGCTGCTGGCCTCTGGCCCGGCGCCTTGTCTCCTTGCTGCCCTCTGGTGGCTGACATGACCTCTGTCCCTCAGCCCCTCAGGCCAGTGGCTGTTAACCCATTCACTGCCCTGCCACGCTGCCCGCTATTATGGGGCACAAGCAGATGTTGTAATGTAATATTCTTAGAAAACCTGCAAATGTTATTCTTGAGACACACGGACAATGTTAATTACAGAACATGAAAAATTAAAAATGAGAACTTTTCTGTGGCTCTTTGTTAATAGGCTGGTCATTTCTTCTTCTTCTTTTTATCTTAAAGTCGTTGCTCTTGCTTTGAACCTCTCTTTTGGGCTACCCCATTGCCAGGAAAATCTTTTTCAGGTAAAATGGGTTATCACACTGACAAATACCACTCACCCATCAGACAAAGTCACTGGGGTGTGGCTTTGGCCCTAAGCACTCTCCCTTGAGCTAGCCGCTCCTTCCTCTTTCCTCCCCAGAGGTGATGCACCCCTTCACCACCCCATCTCTAAGGATTCCAGCCCCACCACGCTGGGCAACAGTCAACCCCCTCTCCCCACCCCAGCCTCATTTTCTTGATTCCTTTTAATTCAACACTGTTAATCACTCTCTCCTCACAGTCCTTTGGCTTCAGTAATCTAGTCCCTCCTTCTGCCCCCCCCCCAATTCCCCCTGACACGTCAGAAGGGCATAGGAAGCACAGCTCTGCTTCCTAACATACCCCCTGAAGGTCCCCAGCTGTTCCCTGTACCATCTTTTCTCCAGATTCAGTCTCCTCTGAAGCTACTAGCCTTTTGCAGCCAGCCTGTGAGCAAATCTACAACCTTCCTTACCTCATATTTTCATTCTTTGCCTCACACCTCAGCTCCAGTTCCCTAAACTCAAATACTTGCTGTACAAGTCACCTACACTCCACCTCAAGTGAACAAGGTTGCACAGGAAGTTCACTTTCCCTGTCTACCTGGCCCTGGCTGCTTCTCCCACATTCCAGCCTCTATACAAATCCAGACCTCTCCCACCTCTATCAGGGAACCCAGGAACATGTAGGGGAACAGAAAGAAGAGGAGCTGTGGGGACTGAGTGAGGAAGACCCTGTTCTTACCAAGGGAGCCCCAGACAGACTTGCCAGTGGCGACGTCCAGCATGGGCTGTTTTCGGGCAATGCTGACTTTGAGCTGCACGGAATCCACCTGGGTCCCATTGAGCTGTGGCAGAAGGGGGGAGGGCAGAGGATGGGGAGAAACATTACCGATAAACCACAGGATTTGTAGGAGTTGCCATTTTAGGAGCAGAGTGAGTAGATCTAAGAGTTAAGTATATCTTGGAGCATAGGATTTCCTGTGTGAATAGGGAGACTCTCTGACAAGAGGAAGTGATTTCCTCCTGGATCCCAGTACTTCCAGAGAAAACATGATGGTAGAAAGGATGGGAAGAACAGATCTGGGCAATCCAACCTCAGCAACGGCCTGATCTGCAGACTCCATCTTTTCATAGGTGACAAAGGCACAGCTGGGATGAGAGAAAACACGGTCAGTACAGGACTGTGGGCTCTTCTGGACCCAGCCATGCCCAGTGCTAATGCACAGTCACGGGAGACAGGCAGGCCCTCCCCCCAGTATCATGCCCCAGGCCCTCCCAGGATTACACCCCTCTGTCTTCCTTACTTTCTGGGTGGGTCCATGGAGAGGTCAATGATGTTTCCAAAGGGGGAGAAGGCCCCACGGAGGAGAGTGGGCGTCATGTCTTCTCCGTACACATACAGAGTATTCCCCTTCCTAGGGGCTCGGCGTTCAGGGAATGAGTCCGACCCTATGAGATCAGGAAGCACAGTCACATGAGATACCCCTTCACATCCTTTACATTGAAGAGTCCAGTTTATTTGGCCTAACCCCACCTAAACAGCACCTGAGGCTACCTTTCCCAATAGCCAAGACCACTCACTGCGGAAAGGGCCCTCTCGATCTCGATCTCGATCCCGATCCCTGTCTCGATCCCTGTCCCGATCTCGGTCTCGGTCCCGGTCCCGGTCTCTGTCTCTGTCCCGGTCCCGGTCCCGGTCTCGATCTCTGTCTCTATCCCGATCCCGATCCCGATCCCGTTCCCGATCTCGGTCTCTGTCCCGATTCCGTTCTCTACTGCGGTCCCGGCTGCGGCTTTGGGGAGGGGAGGCTGAGGAGCGGGAACCAACACGTTCTTCATAGCCCCAGTCAAAGCTTCGAGGAGGGCCATCACCGGCCCCTGGGCCCTCTGCTTCTTCTCCATCTGGCCCCAGTTCTCGAAGTCGATCACTGGAAGACACAAAACTGGAAGAGGCGGAAAATGAACGTGAAAGGGGGGCTTTACCTCACCTTCCCAGGCCCTGTGGAGACTCAAAACCGCCGCTCACCCCTTCCTTCCCACCAGCCCCCGCAGCCCTGGCTCCTTCTGCTCCAGCCAGCCCAAAGTCATCAAGCCCTCCCACCTCCCAGTCCTGGGAAACAGTCCATCGCCAACCCTCTAACCTCTCATACAGAGACTTCCTCTGGGGACGTCTGGATGACTGAAAAAGAGACCAAGGACAGGTAAGACACTTCCTAAATGCTGGCATGTGGCCCAAAACATGTGGTCTTTCATCTTTTCAGTGCCCAGCCTCTCAGGGACAGCGAATTGGAACTATTACCTCCTGCAGATCATCATCGGCAGATATGCTCCTTTGGAATGGCTGGAAAGTGGGGACTGGGCCCTTCTCTGGGTCCTGCGAAGGTGACAGAGAGTCTACCTCAGTGTGGTTGTGGGACAGAGAGGATCCCCGTCCTTCAGCTTCATCTTGGTTCCCTCTGGCCTGTATTTCTTTTCAAGTCTTTTCTATGTTTCTTATTTGACTATGGGCATTCTGAACAAATGACCCAACATTTTTTGAACCTGGCAACATTTTCAGCCTAGTCAACTCCTTAGAATAACACAGCCAGGAACTCTGATACACTGTGGATTAGAGCCAAATAACATGCAGAGAAGAATTTAGGAGTCACTCAGCAGCTCCGTTTTATAGATAAGAAATCTGAGGCTCAGAACATACGGCAATTTGCCCATGATTGAACACGCCTTAGTTTTCCCCTCAACCTACCTCCATTCCAACTTGGAGGGACACTCTCTGAAGTCAAGGGCTTCCTGGACAAGCTGCTTCTTGCGCTTACCTTTAACTTCCCCTCTAAGGTTCGAGAACGTTTGAAGCCTGAGTTCTTGGTCTCAGCCTTGATGGCACTGATGGCTCCTGACTTGACCAGCTGCTTTGCTTGCTCTGTTGCTGTGGCTGTGTCCACCACAGGCTGCTCTGACAGTGCTGAGGTTGTGAGGGAAAGAGGCATCAAGTTGGCCAAGCTGTGACACAGCTCAACCCTGTGCTGCCCACTTCCGGTCTATCCCCATTTTCCCTGTCAACTCACAGCGCTTGACACCGCCCTGGCTGGCTGTGCTGCTGCTACTTTGTTTCTTCAGAGCCAGTAATGCCTTTTTCTGGGAACAAAAGTGAGAAGAAAGGGATGAGACTCAGCCCTTGTTCAGGTCTTTTTCCAAGGCCCCTGGGTGCATCACTTCAGGGAACACCTTCCGCGGAGAAACAAAGCTAATGGCACCTTGGAAGTGGTACACCGAGGCAGTCCTGCCTCTCACAAGTGTTCCCTAGGTCACCTACAATGCCAACAATACCCAATCTATCCAAAGCATAGTATCCAGAGGCTTTCCAGAGTCATGTGTTTTTGGAGTGGAAGACAAGGAATTAAATCATGGACCACAGCCCCAGGGTATAACCTATGAGTAAGTGCATGTGCCTTTTTTTGAGTGCTTCACTCACCCCTCCCCTGCAGATTTAACAAGAACATGCTGTTACTTATTAACAGAGATACACAAAACCCTAAGATTCAGTCCTTTCCCTGAAGAAGCTTGATCTTGAGAAATAAAGTGACTAGACTGAATTGTCCACAATGATTACAAAAGATAAAGATGGCTGGCAGTTGAGAGCAAGGAAGATTTTCTGATGCCAAACGACTATTAAACTGACCCCTGAGTAGAATGAGCACAGCACTAATGGCGAGGAAAGGGCATTTAAAGAAAACAAGGGCAAAGTTGCAAAGATAAGGCGGCTTTGGGAATGCACGTTTGGGGATTAGTCAACATTTCTACTTTACTATGTTTACATTGTATGTTTTCTACATACAATGTAAAACTATTTATGGGTCTTGAGGAAAAAGTGGGACAGAGTTTTGCATTTGCGAAGGATCGATTTAACAGGAGTGAACTCTATCCAAAAAAAAAAAAAAAAACTGAGAAACTTGTTCAGAGTCCACTATAAGTGTCTAAGTGAGCATCAGCAAAGACCTGTTATATAGAATATACAGGGGGAAAAAAAAAAAGATCAGGAGAAATTATTTCAAAGGAAGAACCAAGACCGCGCAAGTGTTTGGCTATGCAAATTGTGAACTCAAAGATGAGATTTTGGTACCAAACATATGGGAGAAATGAATGTGGTCGATTCTATTTGTAAAATCAAGGAAAAGACTAGATTATAGTATATGAGAAAACAATAACTTCAATTTTAAGGTTATCTGGCTTTAAGGTCATCAGGAAGACAATGGACGGGACGTAAAAAGCCAACTTGGGATGAGCAGCTCTTAGGTGGTACTAAAAGTCATGGGAAAGGAAGACAACTCCACCATGGACTGCACAGAAGAGAAGATGCACACCAAGATCTGGGAAATCCACATCTCTAAAGCTACTCTGAGAGGTGGTAAGTTGCCAGTATGAGCAAGAAGAATCCCTCCACCCCCTGCACACTCACCCCAGGTGTTCTCAGTGCAGTCTGTGAAAAGTTGGGCCATGCCCACAAATGCTCCCTCACCTTTTTCTTGAGTTTGTTGAATTTCTTCTGTAGAGCCTCTTCCTCCTCGCTCAGTCCGGGGGGTATCACCAACATGGTGGCTCCTGGTTCAAGGGCAGAGCCCAAGACATCTTTCTCCACTGTCACCGCCCAGGGTTCACAAACCATCTACACTCTACCCCACCCCACCCCTCCAGGTCTGCCTACTCTTGCCTTTTGCCTCTCCCTACCCCTTGCTTAAGCCAGGTTGCCATCCAAGCCCCCACTCGTAGGGATCAAGCAGCGTCCCCTCCTCTCTCTAGAAACCATGGACACCAGCAAGATGGGTCAGCACATGGCCCGGGAAGGGAGAAAAACGTCCTCCATCGCCAAGACCAAGGCACCAGACCCCCCTACCCCTCTGGGGTTAGTAAGGCAGCCGCGGGGTCCGAAAGGCAGAGGAGGCAGCGCAACCCGCGTAGCGCTCTCAGACGACCGAGAAGGGGAAGAAGAGGAAAAGAGTTGGTAAAAACGGGGCAAAGAGTGAAAAGGAGAAGGTCTTACCTGAAGGGGCGGCAACTGGGGCCCCACAGTCTCGGGCGGCGCCCGCGCGGGCAGCGGATAGCGGGCTCAGAGCGATGACGTAGCGAGGGGCGGAGAACGCGGTAACCAAGGCGGCCCGAGGCTCAGACACTTCCGCCCGGCCTTCCACCAAGTCGGGTCAAACCCGATGTAGCACTCAGCCACGCCTCCGGCGGGGGTGTATGCCGGAAGTAGCCTACACTTCCGCCCGTTCTGGGGCGGGGCTTACACCAAGGCGGTCGCCTGCACTTCCGGTTTGCGGGGCCCTGGCCCTGGGTACCTGATGATGGAGACAGAGCGACTCGGTGAGAGGGAGGGAGGTGGAACGAAGGGGTAGACGAGGATTGATCCTTAACCTTTGACCTCTGACCTTCCCTTTCTAGTGCTCCCTCCCCCAGATCCCCTGGACCTGCCCCTTCGGCCAGTGGAGCTGGGATGCACCGGGCACTGGGAGCTGCTGAATGTGCCTGGGGCTCCAGAGAGCACCGTGAGTGACTTTTGAACCTTACTGAGTTTAAGACCTTCACCTTCCACACACTAGCATCTCGCGTGACTTACGCTCCTGTTTGTAGACACCTGTCTTGCGGGGCCCATAGGTGCTGGACAGCTAACCTGCACTCAAATATCTTTTCTCCTTGGAGACTCCTGTCACCAAGTGCCAGGGCACTTGGTAGTAGCAGAGATGGTTCCTTTTGAGCCTTTGATTCTTCATCCTTAGGGCTGGGACGCTCTTTCCTAAAACTAGTAATTCTCAAATTTCAGTGCTCCCCATGATTAGTGGGGGGCTTTTAAAAAATACAAATTTGGGCCCTCCCTGGTGGCGCAGCGAGTTAAATCGCAGAACTAAGACTGAAAGCCACTTCAGCATGAGTTGGATCCCTGCCGTGGAGGTAACCCACATGGCATGGTAGACCTCTCCTGACACACCTGCTGCTCCCCTCAGCAGTGTACTTCATCAGTCTGCCTGTTCTGCTCCCCACTCTTTCTCTGGTGAATCCTCTCACTGCCCCTGCCCCTCTGACCTGTACCCCAGCTCTATATGCATAAGTAAATAAATCTTTTAAAAAAATACAAATTCTTAGCTTCAGATCCAAATACTCTGAAATCCAAAAAACTGTATTGAGAAGCTCTAGAGTTGCTGCAGAACCCAGCACCAAGGCGATTTGGTAGCAGAGTTTGTAAAGCAGGACATTGTCTACATCTTACTCTTGTACATTCACCAATGTCTTTCATCTTGCGCTTGTTCCAGCTCCCCCACGGTCTCCCTCCTTGTGCCCCGGATCTGCAGCAAGAAGCAGAGACATTATTTCTGTCATCTCCAGCCTGGCTGCCTCTGCATGGTGTGGATTACTCAGCCCGGTGAGGGGTCTAGAGCATCTGGACTAGGCAGATGGCTCTAGATAGACAGAATAGAAAGAAAACTTGAAAATGACTTTCCTCTTCTCCAGAAAATGGCAGAGGAAGACAGATCCATGGTCTCTTTTGTTCTTATTGGGCACCCCAGTCCCCTCCGACTTACAGGCCCAGAGACACCCAACCACAGGCCAGCTACTGGGCTACAAAGAGGTAAGAGGTCAAGAGCCCTGAGAAACAGCTGGAAAAAGGGTGGTCAGCGGTAAGCTAAGCTTCACTGGGGCTGTGGTCTTTTGCTGCAGGTCCTGTTGGAGAATACAAACCTGTCGGCCACGACCTCCTTGTCTCTTCAGCGGCCACCAGGGCCCACCTCCCAGTGCTTGTGGGGGAATCCAACACAGTACCCTTTCTGGCCAGGTGACTTGTGAACATGGATTGGTCAGAAAGGGAGTCCTCTGGTCTCTCGGGACGGGCTCCATACCCATCCTGTATCACCCAACCCCATGAATTCCTATTTTCTCCAACCTCTCTCCAGGTGGAATGGATGAGCCTTCTGTAATAGACCTCAGCACGCGGGAGGAGGCTGAGGAGGAGATAGACTTTGAGAAAGGTGAGGTAGGGCCAGGAGGGACCCTTGGGACTCAGGGCTCGAAGTCTGGCTCCTGAGGAACAGGGGACCAGGCTGTCACTGGACTATTGTTGACCCTTCCTTGCCATTGAACAATTAGTAGAAGGTACCTTGCAACAGTTGTGTGACATGTTGGAAAATCGCCACAATATGCATGCCCGCCATGTCTATGCTGTAGATTTACATGGCATATGATGTGTACAGAAGTGTGCAGTAGCCCTGATTCTATTTCTGTCTCTGTCTTCCAGACCTTCTCACTGTTCCCCCTGGCTTCAAGAAAGGCGTTGACTTTGCACCAAAAGGTAAGTTCTAGTTGTAACATGGGGCACAGGAGAAACACCCTTCTGTAAAACAGAGATGGACAGGACCACATCTCTCTTTTTGCCTGCCTCCTCAGATCACCCAGCGCCAGCTTCTGGGTTGCTCAGCCTCAGCCGCCTGCTGGAGCCCCTGGATTTGGGTGGAGGTGACGAGGATGAGAATGAGGCAGTGGGACAGCCAGGAGGTCCCAAAGGGAACATGGCTTCAACCTCTCCCAGCACTGTTCCCCTGGCCCGAGCAAGCAGCTTGGAGGACCTAGTGTTGAAGGTTGCTGGTTCTCAGTGGATGAGGGTGGGCTGGCTGGGTTGGGTGCACAAGGAAGACTGGCACAACTTCTGGAAGGACGGTAGCAGAGTGCTCTCTGACTGTGTCTTTGTCATCCCTAACCTAACTTATCTAGGAGACATCCACAGTGGTACCCCCCCCAGAAGCTCCCAAGCCCGTACCCCAGGAGCAGTGGGCCATTCCTGTGGACGTCACCTCCCCTGTTGGCGATTTCTACCGCCTTATTCCCCAGCCGGCCTTCCAGGTAGAATGGCCCATGCTTGCTCCATCACCTCCTCCGCTACACCCTTGCTTCCTCTCCAGCAGAGGACAGATGCCTTCCAGGTCTCTGTCCTGGCCTTACTTCTCTCTGGTCTTCTCCCCGCTGCCCTGAGTGCAGCCCCCTCCTTTCTTCAGCCCCCATCTATTTCTCGCCCACAGTGGCCCTTTGAGCCAGACGTGTTTCAGAAACAGGCCATCCTGCACTTGGAACGGCACGACTCTGTCTTTGTGGCGGCTCACACGTCGGCGGGGAAGACGGTTGTGGCTGAATATGCCATTGCCCTTGCCCAGAAACACATGACGCGGTACGGTCCCTACCACCCCCTGCAGCCAGCCTTGCTGCTGCACCCTGTCGGAGTCTCATCTCTTCCCTTCCTCCCTCCCCTCATCCTTTCGAGGAGAGTTTGGGGGAGGATCTGAGACAGGGACCCAGAGGGACTTGAGATGGGAGAGAAGTTAAAAGAATGAAGGGTTAGTGGACTGCGTATTTCTGGGGTCATTATGAAGGCAGTTGGGGTGAAGAAGGGGACCATCCAAGCCCTGAGGTGTGCTTTGGGGGGGCGTGTCTCAGGGCAGAAGAGGAGGAGCTGAGCTTGGGCTGTGTGGACTGGGCAGCTAACTTCTTGCCCTCTCCCCAGCACCATCTATACCTCACCCATCAAGGCTCTGAGCAACCAGAAGTTCCGAGATTTCCGAAACACGTTTGGGGACGTGGGGCTGCTCACTGGGGATGTGCAGCTGCACCCGGAGGCCTCCTGCCTCATCATGACGACAGAGATCCTCCGGTGAGAAGGCGCTCGGTAGTGGTGGGTTTTGTTCAGAGGCCAAGGCTGTGCTGCCGAGTACCTCTGCTGAGGAGAGGGTGGAGACTGGAGCTGTGGGGACTCAGTTTGCGGCCTGTTCTTCCAGCTCCATGCTGTACAGCGGCTCAGATGTCATCCGGGACCTGGAGTGGGTCATCTTTGATGAAGTTCACTATATCAATGATGCTGAGGTGAGGGAACCCCAGGTCCCTCAGGCCTTTCCTCTGGAGACTGGACTAATTCAGTTGCTCCCTCTCCCACACATCCTTGGTTGCCTTCTTTGCCCCAAATGCAACCCTGTGCCGCTTCCCTGGGAGCAGGAGAGCAGCCCCCTCTGGGCCGCCGATGACTTGCCTTGCCCCTCCCCCCATGCCAGCGCGGGGTCGTGTGGGAGGAGGTCCTCATCATGCTCCCCGACCACGTCTCCATCATTCTTCTGAGTGCTACTGTCCCCAATGCCCTTGAATTCGCCGACTGGATTGGGTGAGACATGTGTCCTGAGTGTTTGGGTGAAGAGGGGCTGTAGTTTTCTTCCATAGGGACTGGGGGGAGATCACCACAGGAGAGCGCTCAGACATGGAGGGCGGGGAGAACATTTCGAATTGGGTGGCAATGGGGTGGCAGTGGGGTCCCACTTGGGCCCAAATCACTTTGCATGTTGAGAGGTGTGATGACGAGGACAGCTTTCTTATTTGGCTCCCAAAACAGACGGGGCAAAGCCAGAGGGGGAAGATGGTGGGAATGTGGGTCCCTTTCCACCCTCCCACCCAGTATGACTTCTCTTGCTCCTGACCCAGGCGACTGAAGCGTCGCCAGATCTATGTGATCAGCACGGTTGCCCGCCCTGTCCCCCTGGAGCATTACCTCTTCACGGGCAATAGCCCCAAGACCCAGGGAGAGCTCTTCCTGCTGCTGGACTCCCGGGGTGCCTTCCACACCAAGGGGTAAGCCAGAGATGGGGAGGAGTCAGGGTGGGCCCCTGTGGGGGTGACTGTGCTCACCGCCCCTCCCCATGTCCCAGGTACTACGCAGCAGTGGAGGCCAAGAAGGAGAGGATGAGCAAACACGCGCAGACCTTCGGGGCCAAGCAGCCCACGCATCAGGGTGGCCCCGCACAGGTGAAACTGCTCTCTGCCTGTCCCTGCTCTTTCTTTTTTTTCTTATTTGAAAGATCTATTTAAATGAGGCCAGAGGTGTGGTAGGTGAGAGGATTCAGCAGAGACAGGCAGACTGACAAAGTACACTGCTGAGGGGAGCAGCAGGCAAGACAGGAGAGGTCTTCCCGCTCCACGTGGGTCAGCTCCCTGGCAGGGGATCGAGCTTGTGCTGCAGTGGCTGCAGACAGCTTCATAATGCGGTGCTTTAACCCGTTGCACCACCAGGGAGAGCCCCTGTCCCTGTTCTTTCTTTCTTTCTTCATCCTCAGGGTCTAGACCTGAGTTTGAGCACTGCTTTACCTCCTTGCCCTTTGCACTGAACCCACTGGCCAGGGACTCAGCCTCGCCCTTTCTGCCTCCTTCCTCAGGACCGTGGTGTGTACTTGTCCCTCCTGGCCTCCCTCCGCACCCGTGCACAGCTGCCCGTGGTGGTGTTCACCTTCTCCCGGGGCCGCTGCGATGAGCAGGCCTCGGGTCTCACCTCCCTTGACCTCACCACGAGTTCAGAGAAGAGTGAGATTCACCTTTTCCTGCAGCGCTGCCTCGCTCGCCTCCGAGGCTCTGACCGCCAGCTTCCCCAGGTGAGGAGTGGACACTGGACACTGGTAGGGGTTGAGCTGTCTGTGATTGTACCCCTGACTGTGGGCCTCGGCCTCCCACAGGTCCTGCACATGTCTGAGCTCCTGCACCGTGGCCTGGGCATTCACCACAGCGGCATCCTGCCCATCCTCAAGGAGATCGTGGAGATGCTGTTCAGCCGTGGCCTGGTCAAGGTGCGTCTGCGGGTGGGAGAGGAACTCCAGGGCCTGCCCGGCCTCAGGCTGCCCAGAGGATGAAGGGGCAGTGTTTAGGCAGAATGGTGTGGTGGTCAAGAACCTGGGCTTGGGATCCCGGCAGCCTGGGTACATCCGAGTTGCTCAAGTCATTGTGTGACCCTGTGGAAGTGATATAGCCTCTGTGAACTTCGGGCTCCTGTCTTGCAGTGGGTCTAGATGAGATACAAGCAGGCAAATATTTAGAAGAGAAGCCCAAAGAGGGGGAAAGCATATGCGAAGTCTTTAGTTATCAGAAAAAATGCAAGTTGAAATATTCAGGGACGTACCATTAGATTGGTAAAATTCAGGAAGCTTGTTATTGCCAAGTTGCCAAAGACAGGCTCCTATAAGGGTCCTTGTATGCAGCCAGTCTAGAGAGCACCCTGGAAAAATGTACTCTGATTCTAAATTCCATTTCTGGGAATAAACCACAAGGAAATCCTCCCTGGTCCGTGAAGGAACAGGCCTGCTCTTCCTCAGCTACAAAGTAAGGCGTGCTCAGCCGGGCTGGATGTCCACACGCAGCCCCTTTGCCGACCTGTCCCGCCTCCAGGTCTTGTTCGCCACAGAGACTTTCGCCATGGGTGTGAATATGCCGGCCCGCACGGTGGTGTTCGACTCCACACGCAAGCACGACGGCTCCACCTTCCGGGACCTGCTCCCCGGGGAGTATGTGCAGATGGCAGGCCGGGCGGGGCGGCGGGGCCTGGACCCCACAGGCACCGTCATCCTGCTCTGCAAGGGCCGCGTGCCTGAGATGGCAGACCTGCACCGCATGATGATGGTGAGCCCGGGCTGCTGGAGGCCGCGTGTCACCCGGCTCTGGGACTGCTGGATTCTCTCTCTTCCAGCCCGCATCCCCTGTCCTTTTTTTCCCTCTTGCTTGGGAGAAGCCAAGGCATGCATGAGCATACCATGCAGGATGAGACCAGATCTCATTTCCTCTCACCTTTTCCCACAGTAAATATAGTGCTAGACAGGACTCTCTAGAGTCTATTTAGTTTCATCCCCTTAACCTGGCAGAGGAGATAAGCAAGCGGTGTGTTTAGGATTCCATGAGAGAGCTGGGACTAGATCTGCTGAGAAGAAAGAGACATAGTCTCCCTAGGGCTGACCTCACCGACTTCTCTCACCAGGGGAAGCCGTCCCAGCTGCAGTCCCAGTTCCGCCTCACCTACACCATGATCCTCAACCTGCTGCGCGTGGATGCCCTCAGAGTAGAGGACATGATGAAGAGGAGCTTCTCTGAGTTCCCATCCCGCAAGGACAGCAAGGTGAGAAGATTAGGGTGACTAGGCAGGACAGGGGAAGCCCGACTGGGAAGAGATAGATATCTGGAGGCCAGCAGGTGATGGTGGGGGTTGTGGCAGTTTGGGCCAGGAGATGGTCATTTCACGCCTTTTCCTGCTTTTGCTTAGGCCCATGAACAGGCTCTGGCTCAACTGACCAAGAGGCTGAGTGCCCTGGAGGAGCCCGACATGACCGGCCAACTGGCCGACCTGCCTGAGTATTACAGCTGGGGGGAAGAACTGACAGAGACGCGGAGCTTGATCCAGGTGAGTGTGTGTGAGTACTGAGGTGACAATGGAGTGGGGAGGAGGAAGAGAACAAGACATTCTGGGTGCTCCTGAAACCAGTCCCAGTGTCCCCCAATGTGTTCTCTCTTATCTCCTTTGTATATGTCCCTGCTCTTCAGCGACATATCACAGAGTCTGTGAACGGGCTGAAGTCTCTCTCAGCGGGAAGGGTGGTGGTTGTGAAGAATCAGGAGCATCACAATGCATTGGGTGTGATCCTGCAGGTGAGGGCAGTGGGAATGTGGACCCAGAGGGAGTGAAGATTAAGCCCTCCCTGTGGCTCCCTCACTTGGCAGGGGCAGGTTGCAGTTTCCATGCTCTCATTTTCCCCTCTTGCCCTGTTTTCCTTCCCATCATCCTGTCCTGACCACCTCCTTGCGCCTGTCCTAAATTCACTGATCGCTTGGCTTGGTGATCAGCCCACGGTGGGCTCTGGGCGGCTGCACCATGATCCCTGCCCGCGGCGGAGCTGGTCCCTACCTTTGGCCCAGCCTCCCTACTCCCCTAGGTCTCCTCGAATTCCATCAGCAGAGTGTTCACCACCCTGGTCTTGTGTGACAAGCCTACGTCTGAGGACCCCCAGGAGAAGGGGCTGGCCCCCCCAGATGTGCCCTACCCGGATGACCTTGTGGGATTCAAGCTGTTTCTACCCGAAGGTGAGACTGGGGCGTGTGTCTGGGTTCTTGTTGGCAGTGCAGGTGGCAGCGTGGTCCACAACAAGGCCTGACTCTGGTCTCCCCTTTTTTTTTTGTACAGGGCCCTGTGACCACACTGTGGCCAAACTCCAGCCAGGAGACCTGGCAGCCATCACCACCAAGGTGCTCCGGGTGAATGGGGAGAAGATCTTGGAAGACTTCAACAAAAGGCAGCAGCCAAAGTTCAAGTCAGAGATGCTGGGAGGAGCCGTATAATGGGGGTGGGCAGGTGGGGAGGGCGGTGTGACTGGGGAGGCCCCCTCTTCCTGTGGAAGAGAAACCTCTGGCCCCGGGGCCTTAAGACCTGCTCCTTCCCCAGGAAGGATCCCCCTTTTGCGGCTGTGACCACGGCTGTCCAGGAACTGCTGCGCCTGGCTCAGGCCCACCCTGCAGGACCCCCTACTCTTGACCCTGTCAATGACCTGCAGCTCAAGCATGTGTCAGTGGTAGAGGGGGGGCTCCGGGCTCGGAAGTTGGAGGAGCTGATCCGGGGGGCTCAGTGTGTGCACAGCCCCCGTTTCCCTTCCCAGGTAGGCCTGGACGCCAGCTCCCAAGTGGGGAGGGCGCTTCCCCTCCTGGTCCCGGTAGACGACCTGCCCCACCTCAGGCCTTGGCCTCAGTGTCCTTGCTGTGGCCAGAAGACTGATGTGCCATGGCCCATGGCTCTCTGCAGTACCTGAAGCTTCGGGAGCGAATGCAGATCCAGAAGGAGATGGAGCGGCTACGCTTCCTGCTGTCGGACCAGTCGCTGCTGCTGCTCCCCGAGTACCATCAGCGAGTAGAGGTGAGGGGCGGGGTGGGGCGCGGGGAGGGTGAGAGGGTCAGAGCTGGGAGAGCAGCAGGCTTCCGACACCGCCATCTTTCCAGGTGCTCCGAACCCTGGGCTACGTGGATGAGGCGGGCACTGTGAAGCTGGCAGGGCGCGTGGCTTGTGCCATGAGCAGCCACGAGCTTCTCCTCACCGAGCTCATGTTCGACAATGCGCTGAGCGCCCTGCGGCCGGAGGAAATTGCCGCGCTGCTCTCTGGCCTGGTGTGCCAGAGCTCCGGGGACTCTGGGGATCAGCTCCCGAGCACCCTCAAACAGGTATAGGACACCTACCCCCCTCTTCCTTGAGTGAAGCATTCTCAGTGTCCATCCCCAGGTATCCCCCAGTCATCCTGTCCAGCCCTGGAAGCACCCCTAAGAATGAGAATGGCTTTTTCCTCGACCTGGGCCTTCCCGTCCTGGAGTCCGAGGGCAAGCTTAACTTCTTCCTCATCTGCAGGGAGTAGAACGTGTCCGGGCTGTGGCCAAGCGGATTGGTGAGGTCCAGGTGGCCTGTGGCCTGAACCAGACAGTGGAGGAATTTGTGGGGGAGCTGAATTTTGGCCTGGTCGAAGTTGTGTATGAGTGGGCCCGGGGCATGGTAAGTAGCTGGTGCTTGGGGCTTTGTGACAGGCTGACTGGAGAGAGTTTGTCCAGGCCTACCACATTTGACTCTCACCTTGATTCCCCTACAGCCCTTCTCTGAGTTGGCAGGGCTCTCAGGGACCCCTGAGGGCCTGGTGGTGCGCTGCATTCAGCGTCTGGCCGAAATGTGTCGCTCGCTGCGGGGGGCAGCCCGCCTGGTAGGTGAGCCCGTGCTGGGTGCCAAGATGGAGACAGCAGCTACCTTACTACGGAGGGACATTGTCTTTGCTGCCAGCCTTTACACTCAGTGAGAGACCTATGTAAAAATGTTAATAATAAAACAGCAAAGCACCTGAGTCATGAGGCATCGACAGGGATAACTCTGATCAAAGACACAGCAGGGAGAACCACTTAGAAATACGCCTTTATCTGTGTACACAGACAGGTCCAGCCCCTCTGAGGCTTCAGTCAGTCCTTGGGGGAGGGTGTCTTGGGTGATGGGAGGTCCTGGGTCATGGCTTCCACGTACCACTCGGGCAGGAAGGCATGGGGTGCATCTCGATGTTCAGACACTGTGACTGGACCGCCAGGCTCCCAGGAGAAGAGGTGGACAAGCCTGGGGACAGATGGAGTGATGAGTGAAGGTGGAGACAGCTTCTGAGACCCAGCGGGGACTAGGGGGGTTAAGGCCTCACCTGGGGTCATCCTGGACAACTGTGTTCTGAGCAAAGCTAAGGAAGGCAGCACAGAAGTTCATGCACACAGAAGGATTCCAGCCATCGTGGTCATTCTGGAGAAAGCAGAGGAGGAGCTGGCAGACTGGCAATGCGGGCAAGGAGAGAAGGGGAAGGCAGGCTGCGGCCTTGTACGCTGGGCCCATGGTTGGGAGGGCTGGGGGATTTTGCAGGGGTCCATACAGGTGGCTCCATGCAACTTACCCTGACGTATTCAAACATCCTCATGGTGGGAAAGGTCTTGAGAGAACAGACGAAACCCTCTGGGTTGCGGAAGCCAGCCACAACATTTGGGACCCCTGGGAGAAATGACTGAGCCCACCATTTCAGCAGCTTGTGTCTGTCAGGAAAGGCAAGGAGTCAATGGGACCACTCCTGCACCCACCAGCCTCACTGTCTATCCCCACAAGTCCTTCTCCCAGCTGTCGCTTCTAGGCTCTCGCCCCATCTGCCCCCTCCTGAACCTGTAGAAGTTCTTCCACTGGCCAGGGCTGTGCATCTCTTTGGAGGTCTTGAGCTCCACATAGCAGGTGGGGGGCTGTGGGGATGGGGCCTTGGGGTCTGTGCAGTCTACCTCCCCCGAGAAGAGCAGGGGGTGGTTCCCTAGGCGGCTGCGTAGTACAGAGCAGAAGGCCACGTTGGTGTTAACCTCCCCAGAGGGATCCGGGGAACTTCCAGGTTTGTCTGCACAAGGAGAGAAGCAGCAGCGGCAGTGGGGGCTGGGAATCTGGGGGAGGAGGATGGGGCTACAGAGCAGGGTCAACTCACCTGCACACATGTACTGCTCGAACTTGTACCCCATATACATGAACTCCCGTAAGAGGGGAGGCCGGGAAAGCCTCTGAGCCCGAGCAGCTGGTGTCTCTACTTCACTCAGGTACAGTGTCCCCTGGAACCGGGTAGCTGCCAGCTGCCAGCCCTCCTGTCGCTCATACGGTGTCGTCAGCAATTTTGTCAGGTGTCCCCGCCATGTCACTATGGCCCCTGCCAGCCAGCCTGGACCCCTGAGAGGGAAACAAACTGAAGGTCTGATAGAAGCATCATCTCAGATATTCCCCAAAAGACTATTAAGTTCCTTGTAAGGAATGAACTTCAGCTCTGGTTCTCTTAATTTTAGGTTAGGTACAAATTTCTAGATCTACTTGTGTACGATGCTTTGCTCACCCCTCCAGCTGGCCTCGGTGTTCCAGGAGCCAGCGTAGCAAATGGTCCAGCCTCTCTTGGATGGCCTCATCCCGGGGCTGGTATCGATCAGGGTATCCATCTCTGAGATCAAAGCCCGGGCCTTGACCATTGGTGGGTGGTGGGCTGTAATAGCGCAAGGCTCGAGCGTCTCCATGGTACTGGCGTTGTTCATCCAGGGAGAAGCAGCCCAGTTCAGAAGGGCGCCGGTAGAAAGGAAAGGGCCCAGAATAGAGGGCAGGGTCTGTAGGCAGTGATGGAGCTGGGTGGGGGATCTTGCTAGGTGGCTCAGCTACCTCTGGCGTCCCAGGTCCTCTCTTAGTCCCTCTGGGCTCCATCAGTCCTAAAGTGGGTGAGTGCGTGAGGAGCTGGGATGCTGCCCTTTGCCATAGGAGGCCTGGGGAAGGAGAGCTCCGGATCAGGAGTCTGGTTTCTTGATGGCCAGGCCCTTGTCTTGAAACACAGAGACCCCAGCCCTTCAAAGAGAACCATAGCCAGGTACATGGAAGCTAAATCGACAATTAAAGAGTCACCCCTCCCTGGTCTCAACTAAGGGGCACAGGCCAAAGCACCAAAACACAGTTGGGCTGACTGAGTGAAGAAGCTACGTTAGCAACAACATAAGTCACCTGCTCAATAGAACTCCCAGTTCCCAGAAGCTAAAGCTGTAAATGGATAGGGTGGATCTGAACAACCATCCTTGTATGCTCTGCATAGCTAGATACATTCATCTGCCCCAATTCTTAAGAACGTTTTCCTTGCAAACAGTAGCAAGTTCACATTGGGAGGCCCAAGATTCTGACAACTTTCCCAGAGTTAACTGGTTCCTCAGGTCAAGTCCTGAATCTTGATTCTTTAAAAAAACTCACCTTTTTGCTTGCCTCGATTTACTTAAGCCAACATGCACCTTCCACCTATACCCCAGATTCTCCAAAGGCAGGGAGGCTAGGAGGTGTGATGGGGCTCACATCAAGGACCCGGTTCCCTCAAACCCCGCCAGCTTCGATGTCCACTTCCGCAGGGTTATGACGTCATGGCAGGCAGGCCAGGAGTCCCAGAGGGCTGTACAGGTAGTTCCCCCAGCCCAAGGGTTGCTGACGCAATCACTCAGCGACGGCGAGGGGGATAAACTGCTGGCGGAGGCGGGGGTGTGAGCACAACGCGTGGTCTCCCGGCGCCCCCCCGCACCGCCAGGAGTCCCCGGAAGTGACTGATGTCTCGAGAAGCCAATCAGCAGCAGAGGCGTGGCGACCGGCGGCGGTAAGGCCGCGTTGGCATACGCCCTCCCCGCGAAGGTCCGAGAGACGCCAAGTTGACGCTCAACGTCACTAAGCTGCGCCGGAAAATTCTATTTTGGTGATGTCTTTGCTCTACGCCTGCCTTCTCCCGGCACCGTAAGCTCTACAGGGATATGAGCCGAAAGAGGCATAGTCTGGTCCAGGAGACCTTTGGATTGAAGAGGCGTCGGGAGCGAGGCCCCACGGAGGCAGATCCTTTGAGGGGCGAGTCAGGTAACCATGGCAACCCCAGACAGCGCGACCTAGGCTTGGTAACCCCGAAGAACGGCGCCTCCACTGTCGAGCCCCCCACCCCCTTGCCGCTGTTCGCGTCTCAGTGCGGGTCTCTCTGCTCAGGGTCGGCGCGTGCCGCCGTGGCGGAGCTGGTGCAGCTGTTCCCGCGGCGTCTGTTCGAGGATGTTCTGCCACCCATTGCGCTCAGGAGCCAAGTGTACAGCCTTGTGCCGGACCGGACAGTCGCTGACCGGCAGCTGGTGAGGGGTGTCACTCATCGAAGCCTCTTCCCGCACTCGCGGTCACACCGAGGGCCCCTTCACTCAGTTGGCCAGCCATTCTGCCATCGGGCCAAGTGTTAGGTCTTTATGCTTACAAATCCGGATGAAGACTCAAGCAGTAGAAAGCAGGCCAAATCGCGGAGGCGGAGGAGCAAAGTTAAGGGGGAAACTGAGTCACGGGTCATGATTTGAGCCTTCAGCACTGGGAATGTGGGCAGACAGCAGATTTAGACCGGCTTTGTGCATGGGTGTAGTCTCCATCTTATATTGAAGGTGGTGACCTGGTAGAGAGTTACACAGGCAATGGTGTGTTTGGACCAGCATCGCGGAGGTAGTGAGGTGAGACAGGGGCATCACTAGAAGCTCTTGCAGTGAGAACTGCAAAGGCCTAAGTTGAGGGGGGGCTATATAGTAGGGAGGGAGCAGATGGATGAGGGTGAGGGACGTGAACAGTAGGAAGAGGGAAGAAACCAGATTTTCCAGATGACAGACTGAGTACATAACGTAGGAGGAGCTCATGGAGTTGTCCCAGGCAGGTGTTGATTTTGACTGTGTACAAGTAGACTTGGAGATGCTTGTGGAGCATGCAAATGCGCAGAGGACACTTGAATGTGAGGATTAGGAGAGACCTCTGGGCCAGTGATAAAGAATTGGAAGTCATTGATATATGAGCTGTGGTTCACTTTGGGGATGCTGGTGAAATCGGGTAGGAAGAGTGATTAGAGATGTGATATTTAACCTTTTAAAAAACTTAAGAATTTAAAAAAAAAAAAACTTAAGAATTTACCAAATGTTATGACTCTCTAGAGAAATATATGTATAGCATATACATGTAAGGTATCTGTACCATTTCTTTTGGGGAGGGAGGTGGTGGTGGTGCATGTTTCACAGATCCTTTCATGCACAAGGTTAAGGAGCCCAAGTTTACAGTGAAAGATGTTAGAGCTGAATTCACTGTGCTGGGAGACAACAGTATTTAAGGCACCTTTTTCCAAATCTCATCTTGAGTTCTAGCTATATCAGAATTACCTGGACTGCTTATTAAAAAAAATACAAGTTCCTAAAAAAAAGAAATACAGGTTCCTGGGACTCATTCAATGCTAATGAATTGAATCTTGTTGTAGGATCTGGGAATCTATATCTTTTAACTTCTGCCCTCAGTTGACTGTTAATATGCCTAATCCTTGAGACCCACTAATAGAATGGGAAAGCAGAGGATGAGGACTCTATGAAAGAGATTGAGAAGAAATTGCCAGAGTCAGGAGGAGCCCAGGAAGAGGTTTTTTTTTTTAAAGTAGAGATTTTCAGGATAGAGTAATGTCAGTGTAAAAAGCTGTGATTCAAGGCAGTTGTCTGTGAAAAGATCAAGTAAAATAATACCCAAATCCTGTCCACTGGATCTAGCAGATAGAGGACTAATGACACACTGTCAAGAGGAAAAGGAGGAAGAATAGGAAGATGGAGATTAACTGGGGAAGATGAGTCACATGGAGCTTTTTTTTTTTTTTT